CATGTTCTTCAAATGAGCTCCTTAGTGTTCTGTTTCTCCCAAATGAGTTTTAGATAAAAGCCAATCGATGACCAGTTTGAAGTTAAAACTAATGGTGCATCACTGGAACGGAGGCAGTGAAGCAATGTCTTCAGGTGTTTCCTTGGCCTTCCTCTGAGTTTAGTCCATATAGAAACATGCATTCAAGGATCCAAGGTTTTATAAAACAGGAGACGGTCACCAAGAACAATGACTCAGGTTTGGTGTTTCTCAGTTTTGGATTATTAGAGTATTCATTTTCATACTTCAGTGTACTTAAAAATCACCAGGGAAGGCTGCTAAATGCAGCTTCTCAGGCTTTGTAATCGTCTGAGGTAGAATCTCTGCAGGGGAGCCTACAAATCAGGTAATTCTCTTAAAGATGGTCTAGGAACTGCACTTAGAGATCATTATTCCCCATAGGGCCTACCTGGGAGATAACCCTCAATACCAGTTTTTAAACTTCACCTTCTCATCTGTGTCCTTAGTTCTCTCAACTGTCTGTGTTTTAATATTCAGTTGTGTGAGCATCCTTCCAACATGCCCTTGAGACCCACAAAATCTCTAAAATTCTAGCATCTACAAACTATGTACACATTTTATTATGTCTTTTATATGAGGACCCTCAATTACACGTTGATCTCAGGCTATGAACAGGAATGTTCTTCTGAACTACTGTTCTACCCTATGAACACTGTGACCTAGGTACTGATGGTCTGTGCCTCTTTGCACGCTAGCTGCTACATTTCGATTTGAACGGCCTACTTCTGGCAAATTAAGCATTTATGCTTTGCTGTAACCTCATGTTTTACTATCAGTAAGTGAGCTTTGGTCAGTGATAAGAAAGAATGTCTATCAAATTTTATTGGCATGTGTTCTAATGCATCTCTACTTTCAAGCAGAAGATATTAAAAGAAGTTTTAACAGTTGAAAGAAAAGCTATTATATAAACCAAATTAGATAAATCAAACTTTTTGTATCACTCTTCATTTCTTTCAATGAATTTACAATTTATAGCTTAAACTTTAAATATGTTTTGAATAAAGATGTCAGAGGACAAAAATTCAGTTAACAACATAGTAGATGAATCCACCACTCATTAAATTATTTATGGAGTCATATAATCATGAAATAAACCTGAATAAATGAATAAATAAGCAAACCTGACTAAAATGGACTCTTGGTATATAACAACACACAGAGGTCAGACTAAGTTAAAACCCATGACTTTCATTACAACAGTAAAATGGAAATTTTATTGTAATATGCAATCTGAGAAATAGCTGCCAAATTACCAACAATAAAGAAAATCTTAGAGAAACTACTTAGAGAAACTAATGAATATTAATTAAAGCTTTAAAATCCTGAACTGAAAATTCAAAATGTAGATGCATATCAGAATCATTAAGCCCAGTGGTCAAGGTTAAAAAACTAAGCAAAACAAAACACCAAGAAAACCAATCTCAGGATTATTCAGCATTCAAGGATGCTACTTGTCTTGGTACTCACAGAAAACTGTGAATTCTATGTATAACCCAACTCAAGAGTACTTTTGATTTTTAAATACTTGATGACTTCTGGATACCATATTAGCTCCTAATAGAATTAATACAACTTTAGATGTGAAGATCACCTTTATAACATTGACTAAAAATTATTTAACATTTTGAGAAGTAAACCAACTTTTTCACATCTATGAAAATAATGCCATTTTGTAGTCTGTATGTATATAAAATACTTCCAAATTTTAATTAACTAATTTCTTATATACATTTCCGTTTTCCACATTATTATTAAGATAGACCCACAGGAAACTAACATTCTCTGAACATCTAAATCATAAGCATTCTGCTGGGTGCTTTGACAAATATTTCCTTTAAAATCAATACTTAAAAAAAAATAAAACAAATACTTAATGAAGTTTTTTTAAATGTATTTTTATGATCTGATCTACCAACCATAACAATTGAGTATTGGTATACAGCAACATTACACAGCTTCGCCTAAGTTAAAACCCATAGCATCTTTAAAATAGAATAAGGGAATAAATAAAAATAAAAGAAATAAAAAAATAGGGTAAAGAAAAAAAAGAAGAAAAATTAACAACAAAAGACTACAATATTATATAAAGATTGTAAAAACAAATGCCACATGACCAGACCACAGATACGCACGTCACTGACTTTGACTAGAGTTTGATATCTAGTGAAAGGCATTTATAAGTAGAGAGCTCACAAGTGCAATAAGGCACCCAGGACAATGGCACAGACATGGCAGATATTCAATAAAATAATTTTAGCTTCTGTTGATATGTTGGTATCTTTGTTGTTGTTCATTTATCAGCCTAGTACAAATCAGCTAATAGGTAGCATGGCATCGACCAGTAAAACTTCTGAGGCCCCATCTACGTTTAATGTTCTCTGACATTCTCCATAACTTATTGCCTGTTCCAACTAACATTTAGCATAAGCAACAACCTTATAGTGCTAATCGCCCTTCAATGTTTATGGACTAATTCTTACATAAATGGGCCTCTGTGGCTTATATTCTCACAGTTGTATAACATCTAACCTAATCTCATAGTGAACAACTGTTATAAATCTGAAGTTTCATAAGATTAGGTCTTACCAACTATGTCCTGGCCAAAGAATTACATGCTTTTTGCTTAAATGCTGCTGATTCTCCATTGTTTACGGAATAATGGCTAAAATCCTTTGTATGGAATTCAAAGCCCTATCCCTCTGACACTGTATCAGATTCCCATCCTCAGCCTACATTCTAGCCACTACCACAGGAATTTGCCAAGCTCACCGTATACTTTTGTGTCTCTAGACATTTGCTGATCTGGGTCTTTCTGTTATTTCAGATGTTACACACTGGTTCATCCTGCAAATCTCGCTCCATCAACTCTTCTGTGAGGCTCTTCTAGAATCCACCACCACCAACCCAAAACCTTGTGGGGGACAGATCCTTCACTCTGATTAGCGGCCACTTTTATTAAAACACGTTCCTCTTTTAATAAAAGGTAATTATTATTAGTCTGCCTTCTCTTCTGTGAAACTTTCTAAGAATCTATTATTACTATTATCACTATTATTATTATTATTACTTCTCCTTTATGAAGCTTTCTAAGCCTCCTCCACCCAGAGTTAAACACCGCCATTTATTGCCCAACCTTGTCTCTGGTATGTTATTCTCCTCCAGCATAGAACATAGCACCCTGGAATTATTTATCTTAATAATCACCTACCTATCAGACCCTGTGTGCTCCTCAAGGAAATCATCTTATCTCCATCATTGTTCCCTAAGGCCTAGCTAGTACTTTATGCACACAGTAGGTGTACAATAGATGTTATTAAATTAATAAACAAAATACAATCACTTTCGATCAAATCAGAAAAATCTGGTAGTGAGCATGCCTCTTAGCATCCGAGCAAAATCCTTACCCTCTGGCAAAGAAACAACAGCAAACAAAAGTGTACACCAGCAGACTAGGGTAACTTAAGGAACTGAGGGTGCCACTGGGTGGCAGGCAGGCTTCCAGCAAGGGCAAAGACAGGCCCTTGAAACACTCAACCATTTCCTCACATTAACTTCCAGGAAGCTTAGTTTATATTGCCAAGACTGGTGCTGTAAAGAATCCTTTGCTAACACTCAGCTCTGTGATAATCATTGCCTCTATAAAGTCACAACCCAATGTCCATTTTCACATAGGCATTTCCTTAGAGAAGGACTGACTAGGAATACAGCAGCTACATGTACTCTCATCAGTTAACTGCATAAAAAGATTTTATATGTACAAGTTTTAACAAAAAAGAACACAAACCAGACTTAATGTGGCATGATGTTAAAAAAAAAAATGACTGGATTCTAACACACCTAATCTGTACCACAAGAAAATATATCTGTACACATGTATATTTCAGCATAATATTTTCCTTTTGGGTATTCAGGGTGGCATGACTCAGCAGCAGCAAAAACGAAGAGGTTACAATATGAAGCCTACTGTAAATATGGAAAAAGATACTGGAAGACTCATGGAGTACAAGTAATTCAGCAAACACCTGCTGAAATGCCAGGAGATACAGAAGACAACAATGCGTCATATACCATCACTGCTCTCGGGAAGCTTACAGTCTAAAATAAAGCTTTTTACTACTGTATGTGCGTAGAACTGAGAAAACATAAGTAAGGAGGTCATTGAATTTGTCTTAAAAAGAAAACTGTTATGTAGCTATGACTAACTGGTTGTTCTGTTTTCTATAAAAACAATGATTTTCAATAGATTTAAGCACTATTTCCACTGACCACTTGGAGGTAAAACATTTCCTAACAAAATGTTCCCCAAGCTATACACATTTTAAGAACCATAAACTACTTTAAAGGGAAAATAAACACTACTACATTTGACATTTTTTTTAAAAAAAACCTTCATTTCATAACAATTACATGCTATACATGTTTAAAATTATTGGTTATGCTTAACATATGCAACATTATGTCAATTCTAACTGCTCTTGGCCAGCCTTCTCATAGGGAAAACACCTACACTTAGTAAGACAATATGAAAAATGCTTTTAAATTAAAAATAAAACTTAAAATGTGAAAATGTGGTAGGAAAGGTTCCTTTGACTGAATAGTATACTTTCTAAGTCAGAAGCTTCCTAAACTCTTCCTTTTATAATGTAAATGCTAATTTCAGTGATGAATATATGAACACACACATACTAAACAGATGCTATCTCTTACTCATTTTTTTAAGTTTTGAAAAAAATCTCATCAGTACCCAGTTTCAAATACTAGTTCTATTATACCTGTGTTTTTTACTATGATCTGCCTAAATTGTTTTCAGAAAGTAAGCAGATATTAATTTTTATAACTGGTTTTCTAACTAACAAAACTACTAACTCATCCTGCTAAAAATTTTTTCAAAATTGTTAGTAAAAATTATTTATTTTGCATGCTATTGAAGGCTTCTTTACCTGCAGATGGCTGGGAAACATTCTTGAAGACCTTTCTTTTTAACTAAAGATCCTTCAAGGCAGTACATAATGATGTCCATAACCTTTACAGAAAAGATGTAAATCCAAAATTAATTTCAAATACTTAATTTTCCAAAATACAAATTATTTAAGGCCTCAGCTGCATGAAAATTCTAGATGGTTTGATCACAATATTTACAACTATAGCATATTTATTGAAGTTACAATATAGTTACTCTATACTATAAGATATTCCCTCTCTTATCTGTGAAAATTATAAAAAAAAAGAGCAGTAACATACAGAAACAAAACTTGTTGACTTCAAAGCCAGTGCATATTTATGTACAATATAGGTACCTTTTATTCACGCACACTACAAGTCTTTGTTTAGTTATAATGCAAGAACATACCCTTTAAAAAGTACTCCAATACAGACTACTTCCCTATGAATGATAAGTACACAGTTATCATTTTGACTTTTAATGAAAGTTAAGTAAGGTCCTTAGAAATGGTACAAAAGTTAATTCATTTAATTATCTCCCTCTCTTTCTTTAGATAATTCTTTTAATGCTCTCTTTTTATTTCCTTGGAAATAAAAATGCTGATTTATATTACTACATGGACATTAAATATAGGCTGTTCTGTCACATTTAAAGCAGGATATCTTACCTCCACAAGAAGATCCACAACATCTGTGGGCATTTTTTCAATAAGAATCTCAATGACTCTCAGAATTTCCCCTTTAGCTCGTGCAAGAGTTGTCGTGTGCATGTTCTGTTGTGACTGGGTATTTGCTGCAAGAGCCGTATGTCTGTGTACCTGTGAAGACATAACCATGCTATAGATATGGCTGATACTTGATTCAGTTTTGCATTTCTAGCCAGTGGTTTATTTTTCACTTGTTAATACAACTGGGGAAGAAAAAGAGAATCAACAAAAACAAATCTCTTGGGGTGGGTCAGGAAACACTTGATTGCAAAAAAAAAAAAAAAAAAAAAGTAAAATATAGTTTTTAGTAAAATAAAGACTAAGTATTCTCTAATAAAATCCTGTAAGTTCTTGGGTATAATAGGAGACTTTAATATAATACTACCATGACATTTTTCAAAAGACAGACTGAAGGTTTGTGGATTTGGCGTATCTGATGCTGAAGTCAAGACAGCAGTTAGAAGACACCAGCAAGTAAGAGACATGAGACTTGCTCTCAAGTAATAACAGTAACTGATGCTTACATAAGACTTCTGTGTCCCAGAAGTCTTTATATAAATATAAATGAAGTTGAGAAATTCAAATGAACATGCCTCCAAAAATAATAAGCATTGTAAATATAAGTTCATTGTGATTTTTCTTCCCTGTACAAATTGTAAGTCTTAATCATTCAGAGGAGAAAGAACACTGGTAGGTGCTGGGCTAGCCATGGAGGAGTGGGCATGACAGGGGAGGGGAGGGGAGAAGAGGACAGAAACAGTGAGAAATAAAAGTACTTTAGGATCTTAATCTAAAACTCTAAGTGGAAAATTTATTTTTACAAGATAATAAATGTGAACTATCACATTGAAATATTAGAACACTAAGAATGTGGAAATCAACTGGCAATTAGTAAAACATCAACATTAAAAATATTTTTTAAAGATTTTATTTATTTATTCGTGAGAGACACAGAAAGAGAGAGGCAGACACATAGACAGAAAGAGAGGCAGGTTTCTCACTGGGAGCCTGATGTGAGACTCGATCCCGGGTCTCCAGGATCATGCCCTGAGCCAAAGGCAGACTCTCAACTGCTAAGCCACCCAGGCGTCCCTAAAATATTTTTAAAATACCTTTCTAGCCAAATGTTGGAGTAGAATAAATCAAAAGCATGGCTATTCTAACAGTTTATTTAAAAATACTCATATTGGGATGCCTGGGTGGCTCAGCGGTTGAGTGTCTGCCTTTTGGCTCAGGGCATGATCCTGGAGTCCCAGGATCGAGTCCCACATTGGGCTCTCTGCACGGAGCCTGCTTCTCTCTCTACCTATGTCTCTGCCTCTTTTTCTCTGTGTCTCTCATGAATAAAAAAAAAAAAAATACTTATGTAGAAGGTGAAAATTAAGTTCAAAAACATAATCAACACAGATACTTGCTTACTCTTTAAAGAGGCAGTTTTATGCCAGGTACTTTTAGGACCTGTATATGAGACCAGACTTATTCAATATATTCAATATTACTGTCTATGCATACTCAACTGATAAAAAAAAAACTGGTAAGAAATTCCAGGCTAATAAATCTGCTCATTTATAAATATATACTTCATATAAATATGTAATATCTACAAATCATAGATCTATAACATACACATGCATATTTTAAACACAGTGCAACCTTTCTGTAACACTATGCACTAACAGCAGAACACACCCCCTTTACTCTACAAATTTATTTTAGAAATGAATTCAAAGTCCCACCACCTCATATAAACCCATACAATCTGCTATTAACAAGACCTTCCTTCCTCCCTTCTAAAGCTACCTTCACGTAACAAATACTTGCTCCATGCCTATTAAGAATGGCTCTGGGGTAGACACAGGCCCAGCAGGTTTCAGGTTATCAGGGTAGACTCAGGGGTATTTATTTAGTATTTTAAAAATTCATCATAGCTACAGGAAAAACAACTCAGAGTTCATACCCCATGGACACCAAGTGTGCACATTATTTATGCTGAAATGGAACAAACCTTTAAGAAAAAATGTAGGGGCTTATCATCCTTTTCTTTCTCTCCCACTACTAAGACCTACAGGAAAGATTCTATAATTGGTTCATTGTTCTTTACTAGTTTTTCAGTTAGATGTGGGCAATTAGTTAGAACACTAAGAATGTGGGAATCAATTGGCATTCAAGTCTTTATCTGTGACATGTAATAGGAAAAACAATTAGTAAGTTTATGACTTACATTTTTGTTTACAGTTGAAGAGCCAGTGTTAAATAAGTTCAGTGTTGATTACGGGAAGATATTTACACTTATAAAATGTGAATATCTTTAGCATATTTTAATTTGAATAAGCCTGTTATATTTCAGATTGAAAAATTGATTTCAAATATTTGCAAGAGAGTTAACTTTGAGAACAGAAATGAATACAAAAAGCACAAGTAAGGAATGCGTTGCTGTGGAATTCAGGGTACATGCATACAGGTACGTATGTATTCATTTTAGCACTTAATTAACTTGCACTGTTGTAGAACAAATTGGAAGTATTTGTGGATATGGACCCTCAGCTCACAGTACGTAATAATTCCTTTAAATGAGAAGATGGAGCACACAGAGAGGCTCTGCTCACCTCTTTGGCTATAGTTGTGATGAAGGCGGGTGGTCTGGCAGTGGCGATGAGCGAGAGGGCATGCCTTGCGGAGCGGGCGGAGTCAGCTGCAGGGCTAAGAGGCAGCCCCATTGTGATGCTAAACAGGGATCAGGAAAAAAAGGAAAAAAGAAAAGAAGCATTTGAAATATAGACTGAAAAGATTAGACACAGCTTATAATGTCAGTTCAAGGTCAATGGGAGCACTCAAACAGTTAGAATATAATGGACTTGCAACAATGAGCAGTGATTAGGAGTCAGGGTGTTCTGGCATCAAATACAAAATCGAATAATTAACCGTGAAGATTGAAAACAGTATGTGCATCTGTCCAAAGTGTTAAAAACGCCTTGTTAACAAATTATCAAGAACTAGTACTGAATGCATATCACAAAGCTCAGAATCAGGCAGGAAAGAAGACTGTGCTGGGTATTTTCAAATTTTTTGTCAAAAAAAAAAAAATTAGAGGTAATAATTTGTTTATAAGGCCACAGAAAAAGGCTTCATTTAAGGACGTGTACCTGAAAGGAAGCAAAATTCACTTCCATCCATATAATTATCAAAAAGAACTCAAAACTGCAAAATTATTTTTAGTTTTTAATATTATTTTTAGTTTAAAATATCCTCAGTACTGTTAATTTACCCCATGCTCAATACTTTTAGAACCAATCTACAATGTTCTGCCAATAGTTATTTTGTGTTGATGCAAAAATTGTTAATTTTTCTCTCTATAAAGATCATGGGCATGGCATTGTCCAGGTTATTTTTAAGAGTATGTACATGACAAAATAAATCTTTCCGAACTGTAAGAACATCCTGATCAGGATAGTGATGTTATATTCCTTTGCTACCCACCCCTAAAATATAAAAATGATGATATTCTGTTTGTAAGCTTCCTGTATATTTTATATAATAGACTCCTGTGAAAACCAGTAAGACTCTTCATTAAAATGTGGAATGTGATCTACTCGTCAACTATACACAAGGAGCATTTTGCTACTCAGTACGTGATCCATTATAGTTTCTCCCTCTAGTCACATAATCTTCATTCTTAAATATCCATATGAAATTATATCAAGATCTGTACTGCTCTAATTACGTAACTCTGTATACCTCATGTGCAAACTGGATTGTTTACTAAAAATTCTCAAAATGTTTACAAATGTTTTTATAGATTCGTCTAAGAATCATTATTTTAACTTTTAGATGAAAGTAAGTACGCATTACATGGGCATTCTGATCACTGTTTAAAGAAGGGAAGTTGATTCTAGGAAATTCTGACTATAATTTCTTAGTGATTGCTACATTGCTTAAATCTTTGACTGATAATAACTGAGAGTAGATACAAAGCAGGAACTCAGGAGGATGGAGGGGGTCCTCTGATATTCATCACTAAAAAGGAAGATGTTAGGTGACAAAACACACACATTCTGAACAAGAAACAGAAAGGATGCTGTCGGTGCCCACATCACCTCCATAGAAGATCTTGATGCTCGAGATCCAGTAGGGGACTGGAAAAGGGGCCTTCAGCAGTATAGCAGGGCGGGGTAGGTAGCCAGGTTCTTTTCAGGATTAAACATTACTACTGAGAATCCCACAAAGGCATGAGCATGCTGACCTAGATTGCTTAATTATTATAGAGTTTAGATCATAGTTTAAGTTTTAAAAAAATTCAAAAGCTAATTACACTTTTAAGATATTCTATGTTTCTCTCGTCAGCATGAAAAGGTGTTGGTAATACTGAAAGGCTGAAACTCAAATGGTATGTTAACTAAATTCTGAGCAAACCTAAATCAAATTTCCTAAGATCAATAAAATCACAGAATGCTGGGAGTTGGAAAAGATCCCCAGGCAACCTCCCTGCCCAACAGCCAGCCATCCAGCAGGAATGTCTACCTCCTGGGCAGCCTGACCTACTTGTGGAAGGTGTGACAGAGAAGAGAAAGAACTGGAGGTGGAACTGCGGGTCTAAGTTTGAAATTGAGCTTTCCTGTGCTGTTTCATGTCTTCCTGCACCTGCCCAGAACATCCCTAAAGAGGGCGATGGTACCAGCATTTTTATGAAGGAGAAAACTGGGTCCAGAGTTCATCAAGGTGCCAAAGTCTGATGTCTTCTCGGACAGCTGAATGGTGGTATAAATAAAGGGGAGGGGGCTCGCCCACATTATGGTTAACTGGATTAATGAAATGGTAACATGACTAAACTCAGCGACTTTGGATGAGTGGCTAGATGGCATCCCTGGGTGAGGTTTCCAGTGGTCCATTGTGACACGCGGACTTCATCTCTGTTCTTTCCAATGTCAATTGTGAATAACTGAAGATACAGATGCATGGTTATCAATTGGTGTGGAAATATAATTGTAATGGAAAGTAACTATACTAAATGGCAGAACTGGGATTCAAAAGTCCTCAGAAAGATCAAATTCAAATTGGGCTAAAGAAAGAAGTCTTTAAAGTATTTTTTTAAAAGATTTTATTTATTTATTCATGAGAGACACAGAGAGAGAGGCAGAGACACAGGCAGAGGGAGAAGCAGGGTCCTCACAGGGAGCCCGATGTGGGACTTGATCCCCAGGGTGGGACGATACCCAGACTGCCTTTGGCTCTCGCCCTAACCGCTGAGCCACCCAGGCATCCCAAGAAAGAAGTCTTATTGTGTGGGTTCAAATGACCAATTTTAAGGGAATGGGGTAGGCAATACACTGCTTGACCAAGTTTAGGGAATGGCACTGAGGGCTGTATTTGAACCACACCTATGTGTTAATAATGTGGCTTCCCTAAAGGGCTAGGTTGTATCAAGGGAAATAGGGTGAAAGACAACATGTTGACCCTGCTGAGCTTCATGGTTCTGGCTGCCTGTCCACACTCCCTATGGGTGGCTATACTATCTCCCGAGTTTCTAAGAGATGGGATCTCCCTTTTGCAGACCAAGTGTTAGAGCATCTCCTGGAGTCCAGAAAAGTCCCGTCCATTCCTTGCTGTGTGCTGTTGTGATGGCTTACAGTTGGAAACCAGAGTTCTACACATACAAACAGAATCCTACCAACCGCACCACCCACCTCTCTTCCAGACCTTCTTTGTTCCTTCAGGAGTAAAAAGTTTAGTGGGAAGCCAAGAAGGGAGTGGAGGGAAAGAAAGAGAAGGAAAGAATGAGAATGAATGACTCTGCATGTATGTGTTCACCTGAGGATGACAAATGGATATTGTCCCCCAATCCTTATGCTGTGCCCTGTGGCCAACCTGGCCTGAGTAAAGCACAACATTTGTAAAATGGGTCTATTAAAATAACAACTTCCAAGGCTGACAAGATGATTAAATAAGCAGGCAAATGTAAAAACCCCAGTCCTATGTCTCACCTATATACATTATACAGACAATAGATGCTTGTTGTGCCCAAGATGACTCTCATAAATAGAAACAAAGTGAAAAGAAAATGAGATCAACTAGCAGCAGGTCACTGGTTTCAAGTTAAAGGCCCTATCATACAATACCCTTAATCCATCTCAGCAAACGATCTTGTGAATTTGGGAAATAGGCACACTTCTTGTGGTAGGAAAAATGGTAAAAGTTTGGCGTCTGGAAGAGAAGCTGCAGCAGGTAACCAAAGACAGTAAAAGTATTGCTCATGAATTCAGTGGAAGGTGGAACATCCAACAATTTGTAAGAGGCATCAGAGGGTACATTTGAGTGATTCTCTTGATCAGCGTCTGATGGCTGCAGTGCAGGACTTCAGGATGCAGACACATCTATTGCTCTGAGGTCAGTCGTCTGCACAGGTTCATTCAGCACATCCATGGTACGCAGGCAGGGGGGTTGGGAGTGTGGGAACAGAGAGGATTTGCCAAGGCACAGGGGAAGACTCTCCTCTGTAGCCTATATAATGCATCACATCAGAGTAATCTTCCAAAAGCACTAACTTTACTTCATGGTTAAAGTGCTTAAAAACCTCAGTGGGGACCAGTGCTTCTAAGAAAAATCTTAAAACCTTGGCTTGAGGTTCCAGGCCCTCCATAATCTAGTTTCACTAATTTATGACTCCGTCTTTGCAACACACCTCTGTTCCTGAGGCCAGACTAAGTTCAAAGCTGGTCCCTAGAATTCCATTCCTCTTCTGACTAGAGTACGTGGCTTATGCTCCTCCACTACCACTGCCCCCATTAGCACGCTCTCCCCACCCCTCTGTTCAGTTCTTGTGGAAGCCAAGAGTTGTTCTGCAATTGCTAGAGCATTCAATTGCAATCTACTGAAACAAAACCAACCAACAACAAAACCCGTTTATCCTAGGCTTTTAGCACTGGATCTCTTTCTGCCAAGCATTATGAATTAGTTTTGTATCATGAACTCTATGCAGACTGGTACCATGCCTTCTAATCCTGTGATCCTCCCAAAGTGCCCAGTGCAGCCCCTTGGACATAGTGGTAGCTTGAGAGTTATGCGCTAAATGAAGTTACCTGGAAAATCCAGCAGGAAAAAAAAATCGCTTAAGCCAGTTATTTGACTGAACTGACCAAGCAATGAAGTCAAAGTAATTGATCTAGTCGTCCCAACAGGCAAAGTCTAATTCTACATGTAGTTATCTTCAAAGTCAAAGGTGCGCTGTGTATGTGATATATTTTAATGTGGGATTCTAACTGAATGAAGGAGGATTCTACTATCAGAGGTGTGAAATTAAAGGGGTGTCTGTCTTATTCTGGGATCTTCATCGCATCCTGCTTATTTGGCTGTTATGCAGTTCATTGGTTATATAGGCTTTTAAGATGGGTCTTTAGTTAAGAAAAATAGGATAGGACATACTCTCTATTTTACTCAGCATTTCAGTATACCCATCCCACATGAAACATGAGTGATGACAGATACTGTAAATAAAAATCATGAATAGAGAAACAGTCCACTCAGGCTGAGCTCATTCCTCACGTGACTGCTCATTAATCTGCTCTAACCCTTACTCCATCGTGGTAAAAGCATTTTAGAAGTCACACGTCAGACCACTATAGTTAAATGTCACCATCTACAATTGTCAGACTTCCCCATCTGTCAAATTCAGGAATACTGTAAGAGAATATTCAGGGGGAAGAACCACTTAATCTTTCATAGAATAACCC